AGGGGGCGGAGTTCTGCGTGATGTCGACCTGCGAATGCAGACACGATGGCTGGATTGCGTTTACATTACACTGAGATCCGATCACAATGCGTCCTCGACTACCTCTGGACCAGGACACGCTGATCGGATAACATTTCGATCAGAAGCACATTTACACTTGTCTTTTCAATGTGTATGTGGACAACATCCGGATACAGGTCGCATGTTAATGCCAAGTGTAAACGCAGCCTTTGATGTAGTCTCCCATTCACCGCTATAGACGTTTACCCAACTATGACGACTTCCGCTGCTAAGAAACCCTGAAATGTGAAAAAGGTCCATAGCAGGCAAATGTAACTATGAATTTGCAAACTGAACACAGAGAAACAAACAAGACATAATATACATAGGTGCTTAAAAGTAAACAACTTTTGTTTACCCGGAGCTTGCTATCCCAGAATCTTCACTGCTACACTAGTAACATTCCATCTATATAGTCTGGAACCTCAACGAGATTCAAGAAACCTCCTGACCCTGGACTGAACCCCTAATTCTGATCTGCAGTTCAGATAATTAAGTCTATATGGTTTCTGCAATTTGAGCTTGATTGTATATCACAACTTGTAAAAGGAATTGTGAGTGAATTGATGATTGACTACACCGTGAACTAAACTGAGCAGATGCAGCTGACGTACTAACCAGTTTGCCTCGAGTTTGAGCGGACCGTGTTTCTCTCAGTGTGTAAACATCTCCACACACTGATATCTCCCTCCACACACCAGGCTTGGACTCCTCTGTGAACCCGCCCCGCGGGTGCATGACTAGCACACCATTGGTTGTCAGCCCGTCCATGTGACCATCTGGATTCTTCCATTTGGCTGCTTTCTCCTACAGAGAGACTTAATTACTATACATAAACAAAAATGAATGCGCTGCACTCTCTTTTTAGTTACACATGGGGTGACTCATTCCAGTTAGCCGGACACACCTATATTTACCAGGTAAGTTTAGATCAGTTCCACTGAATCAGCGGAAGTGGATACTTCCCCAGACACCACATACACAAGTATATATAAACGAAAGCTTAATAGAGTTTCTTGTAACTCTGATGAGAAATGCATCCCACAGACGATTCCATTTCAAGACCAGGTAAGAAAACACACTTACTCCGAGAAATATATTCTTGGAAGAATCGAAGCCTGCAGCGTAGATACGTGCTGTGTAGGGCGGGTTACGTTCACACACCACCCGGCAGGCAAAGCGGGAGATGGTGCTTTGAGTGATGGGTGTGTCTTCACTCTCCCCTCCGCCTGACACGGTGTCAGTCACCACAAAGTCAATAGGGCCCTCCGTTGATCGTCCAATCTAACGTACAAAAGAAAAGTTAAAGTTTCTCAGCCACCTCTTACAACTTTCCAGCAACTATCTAATAAGTTATATTCCAGGTCATGACAGTAAGAACAATGTTAAGAGAAAACAAATATTCTTATATAAAGATTTATATTATATTACTATAAAGTTACAGTGGTGGCCAAAATTATTAGAACGCTAGTATTCTCACCAGCTAAAAAATGGTTTTAAGTAAGTTATTTCTATCTTTTGCTGTAGTGTGTCAGTAGGAAATATCAGTTTACATTTCCAAACATTCATTTTGCCATTAATTGTAATAATCCAGTGAGATTTTTGTTTTCACATGCATTTTCAAGAAACCTACCTGCAAAGCTACAGTACTGTTAAAAGTTTTAGGCACTTGTGTAAAAATGCTGTGAAATGAGAATGCTGTCATAAATAGATTTTCTTTATCAAGTAACTTCTATTAACTAAAATAAATCAACATTTGGTGTGAGCATCCTTTGTGTTTAAAGCAGCTTTTAATCAGTAAAATGTTTTGTATGGTTTTGAGCCAAGCGATCACTACTGTTTCTACACTATTTGGTATCAGTAGTAAACAGGATGAAAAACAGTCATGTATGTGCCAGGACTTGTTTGAAGAGCCTAATTTAATTTTAAAAGTGGGGTGGAAATTCCCAAGAATAGAGAGGTGCTCACTGCACTAAATCCGGTTTATAAATACTTGTACTGAAATAAAGATGCAACGGTCTCCACTTTATTTCCTTTTTAAAGAGACAGTTTCTGTTTTGTCCCTGTGGGTTGCTGCTGGTTCCTGTTTTTGCTTTCCTTCCCATTTGCTTCAATCCGTATGACTCTTTCCCTCATGCGTTGTCCAAAAAAACACATACGCAACACTGTATCTGAGTACGTGACTGGGGGAGTTAATAAACCTGTCCCATATCACAGATCTTGATCAGCTCTGGTGGAAATCATACCTCAAAGTATAGAGAAAGTCAACAGGCAGAAACTGAATTATGCTTAACTGTGGACACAAGAGGAGAAGAGATTTCAAAGTGTTTTTTGTTTTTGGTTTTACTAAAATGGCTATAACTCTTGAACGGAATGAGATATCTTCACCAAACTCGGGACACATGTGTAAGAGCTCAATCTTTGGTCAAATAAAAAAAAATGTGCAGCGCTGCCGCTTGGTGGCGCTACAAGATTGAAAAAACATAAAAATGGCTATAACTAGGCAAGCGTTAGTCCGATCGACTTGAGGAACATGTCTGTGTCTTTGTCATGGCTGTACTCCACCACCACCGTCTGGTTTCTGGACAGCGTGTAGGAGATGCTGTGCTGGCCCTTACAGTTCACCGCCTGTCACAACACAACAGAAGCATCTGTCAGAGAGGCTTTCCTGCTACAGTGGCACACAGAAAACGTTTTTTAAATGCATTACTAGATTTGTTTGCATTACTAGATACTAGGGCATTGATATGTAGTTCCTAAAGCTTTTAGTGCGATTTTTATGCTGTTGCCAAGTTGCTACTAGGGATGTCACGATACCAAAAATCTAGTAGTCGGTACTGATACCGCGAGTGGAAGTCGATCCCACAGGGGAAAAAAAAAAATTGCAATAATACTTAAACGTTAACTTTTATTTAAAATTACAAAAACAACAGTGGCACTTGGCCCCAGTCTTAATCTGTTTGACCAAGTATACAATGCATAATCAAATACTTAATATTTCAAGTATTTAATGAATGTTGTGATTCACTTCTGGCTTTTGGAGCAAACAGGCAACACTAATGCCAACTGGTTACATTTTAAAAATATAAATTACTGCTTTAGTCAGACTAAAACCAGACTTTTAAAATGCATGTAAACATATTTACTCATAAATGGAATCTAATAAAAAAAAATAGATTTTTTGTACATTTTGTACACTGTAAGCAGGATTTGTCTGTGCAAGTCATTCACGTAAGACTCTCAAACTGAACGGACTAAACAATGAGAACAATATAAGAATAAAACGAATAACACACACACACACACACACACACACACACACACAAGCGCTCGCTCGCGCGCGCGCACACACACACCTATACTCTGAATGCAAGCATTAGGCCTAGTTTAAATTCACTGACATACTGGCAGGCCGAAAATATTTTTTAAAACCATTAACAAACAACAATTATCTAAACCAGTCTTCCAGGAGTAGTTCTTCTGTGTGGTTGAAAAATAGCAATAATACTTAAACATTAACTCCTTTAACATTACAAAAACACAACATTAGTGGCACTTGTACTTGAAATAATACACACACACACACACACACACACACACACACAAGCGCACACACACACACACCTATATTCTGAATGCAAGCAGTAGTTTAAATTCACTGACATACTGGCAGGCCGAAAATATTTTTTAAAACCATTAACAAACAACAATTATCTAAACCAGTCTTCCAGGAGTAGTTCTTCTGTGTGGTTTTTCTTCTTCTTAACCCTTTGAGGACTGACTGAAACACTTCCAGGCGTATGTTCTGCCTGCCCCCCGTCAGTTCCGGAAGAACTGCAGCCTCGCTAGTCGTTACCCTCAGTTCCATCGGTACTTACGCTACTGAGGAAAAGTACCGGCAGGATTTTAAAATGTTTATACCGATCAGTTCTCGTGACATCCCTAGTTGCTACATCTAGAAGATTTGCTTGCACCTTTCATTTTGTCTGTTAAAAGAAAAATGTGCAGAAAAAATAAAACATGCATTATTTTTGGCTCATACCCCAAGTAAGCTGAGGGATCCATTACTTATTAGCTATAAAGTTGTTTGCTCAATTAATAATTAAAGTAGACTTAATATTGCATGAGAAATACTAATTTTGACAACCGTTTAGCAGTCTTGGCAAGAACTTGCTGTGTTGTTTTACCCCTTTAACATTGGGCTTTAAAGGGATAGTTCACCCAAAAATGAAAATTCTGTCAATTAATCTCCCTCCTGTCGTTCCAAACCCGTAAGACCTTCGTTCATCTTCGGAACACAAATTAAGATATTTTTGATGCATTCAGAGAGCTCTCGGACCCTCCCATAGACAGCAAGGGTCCTTACACGATCAAGGTTCAGAAACGTAGCAAGGAGATCGTAAAAATAATTCACGTGACATCAGTGGTTCAACTGTAATTTTACGAAGCTACGAGAATACTTTGTGCGCAAAGAAAACAAAAATAATGACTTTATTCAACAATTCCGTCTCCTCCGCGTCACCCTATAGCGCCATATTGGAGAGTATCACGTGCGTAAACATACATGAACCATGTCTGATGTCACATGAATTATTTTAGCGATCTCCTTGCTATGTTTCTGAACCTTGATGGTGTAAGGATCCTTGCTGTCTATGGGAGGGTCAGAGAGCTCTGGGAATAGGGATGGGTACCGAAACTCGGTATTTAATTGGTACCGGGGCTAAATTATGAAAGACCGGAGTATCGATAAGCTCTGACGTTAACGGTTCTGCTATCGGTACTGGAGAAATTAATAAAACACACATACATTTATTATTGCTATATATACATTATCTGGCAAATTCTATCTCACCAGAGTTGCCAGCTGTTTTTCAAACATTTGTCTATGATGCATTTTTGCTATTCGCAAATCAGAAGCGAGATCGCGCCCACGCGGAGGAGCTTCAGCACGC